TTTTTTTTTAGCTGAGCCATCCTGCCACCTGTTGGCAGCTCAGCAGCAGCACAGCTCGGGCCGGGAATTGAACCGGCAACCCTGTTGCTCAGAGCTCACACTCTTGAGCCAGCTCTTAACCAATTGAGCCACTTGGCCGGCCCCACAAATATGTATATTAAAGAACAAAATGCAACTTCTTATATTCACTAAAATTTTAAAAAGCTAAAGTGAAAAATCAAGTAACTATGTCATAGGAAGCTCCTAACTTAATCAAGATCTTAGATGACAGCTGGGGAATGAAGCTTAGAGAGAGATAAAAGATGAAGAAGGGGCTGACAGACCCTATGGTAATGAAAAGGGGCGATGATAGGGAATGGAGAATTCCTGGATTTCTCTTTTCCTTCTTCCTTTATGTCTTCGCTCCCCTTGTAGACACAGTTTTTCTTCCCTTTTGCCAGTGACAGCTCCAGCAGTGGTGGCAAGAATCCTGTCATGGCCCTAGGTAGGGATATTAATATCCCTTCCCTCATTCTCCCTCTGTTTGCAGATCTCCTTCCTCTGCCACCTGGTACTGGCATGAGAATGGAGGTAGGAGACGGGGGCTAGATAAAATGCTTCAAAGGTCGGGCTGGCCAAGTGGCGCGTTGGTTAAGAGCTGGCTTGGGACGCCAGCTCTGAGCAGCAGGGCTCCAGTTCAGGTCCCACATGAGGGCCAGTGACACTGCCCTCTACAGCTAGGATGGTGAGCAGCAGCTCGACCTGGAGCTGGGCTGCCATGAGTTGCCAGCGACAGCGTAGGCTGCAGCCCCTGCTGCAGTGGGCTGCCATAAGCTATCGTGTGGGGCCGGCAGCCAGCGTGAGTGGCCGGCAGCCAGTGTGAGCTGCCTAGAGCCACCGTGAGCGGCTGTCCAGAGGCTGGCGACCGATCTGCCTCATCCGGGAAGAGCGCAATGATAATACCAACATGGGCCAATAAAGCGATGTCCTCCACAACTAGACTGAAGAACCGAAAGGACAGCAACTTGTCTGTTCCCCTTCCTCCGATTCCCCAGCACTGTTCCCCTCCCCCAATTCCCCAATAAAATCTTTAAAAAAAAAGATTGTTTAAAACAAAAAAANGGAAGAGCTCAATAATACCAACATGGGCCAATGAAGCAACATCCTCCACAACTAGACTGAAGAACAACAATAAAAAAAAGGACAGCAACTTGTCTGTTCCCCTTCCCTGATTCCCCAACGCTGTCCCCCTCCCCCAATTCCCCAATAAAATCTTTAAAGAAAAGAAGCTTACAACCTGACCAGGAAATAAATAAACATACACATGAATATAAAATAAGGCAGAATAAATTGAAAGAGAGGCACTTATGTTTAACCTCAACCATGTTTTTAAGCATAAAAAATAAATGTGAATATAATATAAAACTAGACCGTTTAAGAACATCCTAGTGTTAAGTAGTATAATTAAAAGGGATTTCAGTGTATACTCAGGCACTCAAGGAATAAAGCATTCAGTTTTTTTTCTTTACTAAATTCAACTCTGACCCTCTATCACACTGGGCTGGAAAGAATTTCAGTCTGCATAGCTCCCCTATCTGCCCTAAGCCATGTAGTATTTGAATTTGGGGGAGGTGTGTGGCAGGTGGAAGGGAACCTCTGGTCATCAGCCACACCAGTTTGTGGTGCCTATTGTCCAGCCTCTGGGTCATCACACAGCCCACCCCTCTGGGATCTTGTTATATTCTCAGGATTTTACTGAAGCACATCAGTAAGCAGTTTCCTGTACCTTTAGGCTCCATCTGATATCAGATCTTCCTTCATTCTGGGAAATCAAACCCTCTCTCCCCTTTTACATCTTTACTAAGGAAAAGCTTGACTTCAGCTTTCTCCCTGGTAAAATTACCTATAGGGACAAAATCCCATGGGCTTAGCTATCTACTTGGACTTTGTGTATGAATTTCAGTGGGGGAGGGAAAAATACACTGGACAAATACAAATTAATATTTCAAAAAATTATCTTGTTATGTAGATATTTTAAGGAACCTCAGAATTGAGTGACTTCCCTATCAATATACCCTGTGCTCCACATTTCCTCAGTTGTCCACTTAGTAGGTGAACAGAGTCCTCTCGGCACCTGTGAGCAACACCTGATGTAATGTGTCAACTGTTGGCTGCTTAGGCACTCTAGTTGTGCAAAACCTTTGTAAAGCATAATTTCAGTAAAGAGAAGGGGATTTTCTTCACTCTGCAACTCTGGGTTGTTTTGTGGTAGACATTTAGATATGCAGTGCCTAGAATATCATTTTACAAAGCTGTACAACCAATCACATTTGTAACTATTTCTTACATTTAGACATTGCATGGAAAAGAAAAAGCAAAAAGAGGAAATTGCTCATAGATCCAGTCAAGGAGATCAGTAGCAAAATTATGTATAAACAGCTTACTTGCTTTACTGACACACTCGCAGTTTTGGAACTTGCTCCTCCTACCCAAAGACTGATGATGTGGAAGAAGAAGGGAGGAGTCGATACACTTCTGTCAACTGCTAACCAGGATTTGATTCATACTGAACTGAAAATGGTAATTTTTGTCATCCTTTGCATGGGTGCAATGTTTGGTTATAAATAAATAAATGCATATTTACACTCATATGTACAGCAGAATTTAAACTTGTGAAAAACTACCCCCCTTAGTTTGAATTAATTTGCTGGATGTGTGTGCATGAATTATATATTTGATTTTTTTAGCATATGTGCTTGTATCTTGTTGAATTGCTTTACTTATACAAAAACAAGAAACAAAAATGTATATTTTTACAGTTGTTTACAAAACGTTTTCTGTCCTCTGACTTTAAACTTGGAAGAAAATTGATACAAGAGTCAGTAAGGGAAGAACTCAGAAGCAGACACATAATAGGTGAGACATTCTGTTGATGTTGAGGGGGTTGTTGTACAAACAAAAATTTCATTTTGCATTTCAAAATGAATATGGGATCCAATTCCATATTCCCAAGTATAAATGCTATCTCTAGAAGAGTATTTGAACTTAAAAAAATTGTTACATCAGCATAGTATTTTTCTGCTTTGCAGATTAATTTTTGTCCAAAAAGCTACATAAAAAGATGAGGTATATACTATTCTTAATCTTACTCTTTCCCACCTTCCCCACCCTCAAAGGCAGTATTCAAAAACTTTCAACAAAGAAATGTTTTTTTATCTAGTAGGATAATGTTTCATTTTAAGACAACTAACATGAAAAGTCACCTATTGATAAGAATAGCATTTAAACAATACAATTAACCTGAGACATATATATTTCCATATACCCAGAGGATACATGGAGTATTAATAATTAGTGATTATTATTGTGACTATTTTAAAGGAATAACAAAGCCAACTTACGTGGTGAGTGAACCTCTGCTTCTTGAAATCATTAAAATGTGCTGAACAATATACTAACATGGGCTTGAACTGTCCGTGTTGTCTTGTGAGTGAATGTACAGAGGTGAGGGCCAAGGAGATGGTTGGTGGAGGATAGGAAGTGGAGGTGATAAAGAGGCAGGTGTGGGGAAAGGGAAGATAAATACGTGAGACTTGGGAGCCCTAGTTGTTAGTACACCCTTTGCTTCAGTTCTTGAATTCCAATGTCCGAAGTTTTCTTTTGTAACAATCATATGCCAATTTAAGTTTGAAAGATATCTTTTTGGTGAAATCTTCTTTACTTAATAATTCAGAGGCCTCCATCATGGAAGAGCCAAATTCCCAGCAAGAATTAATTCAACCCAAAACTTGGAACAATGTGATTAATGGACCTAATTGTAGTCCTCATGATGATACCAATGAAAATATGAACTCTGAGGTAAGTTAGCCAAAGAGAATCATAAAAATATTATTTTTCTGACACAGATGTAGTGAAGGAACGTTGAAACTCTAGTATATCTACATATATTTATAGTTTACATTCATCTCATATTACCCTATGATTTCTTTAGTAAGTAGCAGTATTACAGGATAAAACATGACTTTCATCTGTAGAACAGTATTTTCTAGAAGTTCAGGATAGTAAATCACAAGGTAAGTAGTTTCATACTGAAAAAGTATCTTGCATGGTACAATAAATAAATGATTGTATTTGATTTTGGTTATATGCTGAGAGTTCTAGTAGGCCCTACATTCAGTATGTCATGGAATCTTTTAGAACTCTAGACAGTACACCTATGTTTTGTTTCTGATCATAAATTCACCCTTCCCACCTCTACGAGTAATATGTTTTAAACTCACCAGTTACTTTAGCCTTGAATCTGAAAGACTATCTAACAATCCATGACCAAAATAAAATTTTAAAAAGGTTTTATATGAAAACATAATTTGTATTTGAAAAACATAGTTATTTGGAAACATACTTGGGAACAATGTACTTTAAAATATTTTCTCAATTGTCACTTTATTGATTGTACAAATGAAAATATTATAGTCATCCCAGATAAAAATAAACCAGTGCTTTTCTGGTCTGTTCCATCATCACTGTACTTTGATAACCACTCAGGGAATTCAAAGTCAGTCCACAATGAAACTGAATGCCCTTGGAAGGAAAGACAATTTCATAATGCATTAAAAGAGGATGTGTTTTACTAACTATTTGATAACATACTGGATATTAAGATACTGGGTTGCCAGTACTACTCTCTTCCTGATTTGGGCTTGGGAATTTCTTTAGAGCACACCTACTGAAAATTATGATTAGGCAACCTTGTTTAATTTATGACTTTTTAACATATTAACAAAATAGATTTTCCCAAGTGCTTGAAGTGAAGGAAAGAGATTGATGCACTGGTTCTTTCAAACCTTTTACTCCTTTGTCCTATGATTACGTTTTAACCTTCAATTTCATTCTTATTCTGCTTCCAAAACTGGTGAACAGATGTGAAATATAGTCAGGAATGGGAAATAGTGGTTCTGATTAATCATTTTTAAGTCTTCATAAAACAATTTTTATGTAAAGTAACTGCAAAATTGAGAGTATCTAAAATGTAGAACATTCATAGAAATTAAAAAAGAAAAACATAAGGCTTCACAAATATGTGTGTGTGTGTGTGTGTGTGTATTTTTTTTTT